CAGACTTTCCATATAAAAGTCAGTGATAAATCCTGGTAATTCTTACCTGATAATCTACAAGGAGTTCAGGTCCTTTGAAATATCTGGAAGCCACTCTGACATTGTACTCTTGGCCGGGGTGATAGAATTCAGCCAAACCCCAGTCTATTAGTCTAAGCTAGAAATGGTAGAAAACAAAGAAAAAAGGCTCAAGGGATGCTCCAGTTCTCCACTGGCTGAACCACACTACAGGTGAGTTTAGTTTGAAGCTTCATTTACAAGTCTTCTATTTTCAATTAATTTGAAGGTGATCAGAGTATCTGTTTAGATATTCTCCCCACACCCATAATCACCAACTGGTCTACATAAAATACCTCTCCTTACCAACCCTATTTATGGGTTACACGTAACCCATAAAAACTTAAGAAAAGCAGTGTATAGAATTTCATTTTACATTTCTCCACATGATGGAAGTGCAGCCACCCTTGAAGATGTCTGCTAGTACCACTACACAGGAGTACCCAAAAGGGATCCTAGTTTTGCCAAGAGAAAAGTAGGACCTCTCCCTGCCCTCCAGCCTGCCCCACGTTATTACCTTTCTGTGCTCGTGGTCAATCATGACGTTGTGAGGTTTGACATCTCTGTGCATGATTCCCATGCTATGGCAGTAATCTAAAGCCTGTAGGGGACGTACAAAGAAACAGATGCTGGAGTCACAAGAACCTTTCTTTCAAGTTCAATCATATCCAGAAGTGTTTCCACATACACCAAGCCTAACTAGACAACAAGACTTTACTGTCCAGCGTTATATCCCAGACTAGACTCGCAGACCACAGAAAACACCTCTAGAGCCCCCTCTCAAAGGGAGGTCCCAGCAGCAGAAGTGTTTTGACTTCACCTCGTGTACTTCCTCATAAAAATGGAATTTCACCCTAAGAGCAGAGTTACTAAGCACTATTGATCAAACAAGTCTCCCCTTCTCCAGACGCCTGAGGAGAAAATATTTGTTTCAGAAGAACGGACAAATACATTTGACTTGCATTACATGAGGGCACAAAACCAGCCAGTAACAGCTTACAGTTTTCTGTTTTCAGAGGCTACACGTACTTTTGATTTAGGATCTTAAGTTATCTCAGTGTACCCTAAGGCTCTGCTATCCTCAAAAAAAAAAAAAAAGAGACTAGAATTTTTTGCAGAAACAAAGCTGAACAATTGATACTGACTTGATACATATTTTTCTACTCAATTCTTCCATAGGCTCTCTCTTCTCTTCCCCCCCATTGGTGACATGATAACCATCCCTATGGGATTAGCTGAGTGCAAATCCTAGAAATAAACCGATAAAACAGCAAAACACCAACTTACCTTCAAAATCTCATACATGTAGAATCGAATATCATAATCTGTTAATGTCTGGTATAATTGCTGTGGGACACAAACACATCGTATCAGTGTTAAACACCCAAGAAAAATATCACATCCCTGCCAATCCAGAACAACCCAGCCCTGTTCTCTGCTGCTGTGGTTCTCCAAACCCATTTGAAGGAACAATAAAAGTTTCCCAAGTTACTCTGATCCCCCCCCAATTTACTTCCAGCTCTGCTCAGACAGTACATTCTGGTTCCTGTCACTAACTCCCTCAGGCTGCACTCGCCCACCACCAGTACAATGCATTGTGCCTGCAGACTGGCTCTCAAAAAGACCCGAGGGTGCTCTGCAACATTAAGCAGCTATTCCAGATGGCATTGCACAGCCATTCTTCTCCTGAGGCAGGTCAGTAGGGAAGGGGACAAAGAAACATTTAAATCCCTTTTTCCAAAAGTATGGAAAGCCACAGAAACAGCTGTCCACATTTGAAATTATTCCAATAAATAATATACATGGAACGTAAAAGCAAAATGTTTCAAAAAGACAGGCACTGATGGTCTACAAGATGACAGATTAATTTGCTCTGAAGGTTAGAATACCACTTGGAATCTGGATTCTCTGGATCTTGTAACTTCTGTGGCAAAATGGTACTAAAGGACTAATTACAAACTTCTGTACCAAGTGTATTTACCTTTAAAGACAGTTACTATGTGGGAAGGACATGATTAAATAACCTGCCTGCCCCGTACGTACTTGCCTTTCCCCAGAAAAACATTACAAGTGGCTTTCAAATGGAAAACATTAAAAGTTCACATCCCACACTGTACCTTAAAGTCTGTGTTGTTTACATGTTCAAAAACCAAAGCGGGTGTCCGAGACTAAAACAGAGAGAAAAGTGTTCAGCCATGTTAAGTTGAGATAATACGTTTTCATTTAAGATAATGAATTAAACCACTTTTACTCCTAAAACTGCTAGAAACCCCTCTGCCTCAGACATACTTATGATTCCCCTCAGACAGAGAAAGCACAGCCAAAGCCTGCAGCCCCTGGCAGCACTGTTTGTAGAATGAATTAACTTGTCTCAGTTCGCTGGTATCTCATCCTTACAGAGTGAGGGGCTGAAGGGACCTGTGGGGGAAGGGCCCTCTAAAAGAAGTTAATCAGATTAAGAGCTGATCTGATTAAGCAATTCAAAAGCAGGATTTAAGAGCAGGGGAAAACAGAAAGCCAGATCAGAGCTGAAGTCAAACACAGCAACTTCACCCATAACCCCAGCGTACCCTTTAAGTTCCTTCCATACTCACCACAGGATCTTTTACTATATCTGCAAGAGTGATTATATTGGGACCGCCTCGCAAGTTCTCCAAGATCTTGATTTCACGCTTGATTTTCTTCTTTTTAACAGGCTGAAGAATAAAAACCCAAAATGTAAGACAAAGCACTCCAGTTAAGTGAGGCTAATAGACAGCTCAACATTCAGATGACCAAGGTAGGTGACTGCAAGTCAGCAAAATACATTGGAGTCTTTGCAAGTTAAGTTCAAACAGCTAGATTTTGTTGTTACCTGACTATGCGTCATTCCAGTAAGGGCTCAAATATCTGCAGTCTCCCTTCTAACCATACAACCCTGACAGCTACAAACATTACTTCCATGTGAATGAGGGTTAGGAAGATGGCATATTTTTTTTTAAAGCTGTCTGAACATGATCTGATAGTCCAAAACTTCTTAACTGGCATGTGGTAAATGTATAGCTATGAGAAGTCCATGAGCTACCTGGGGGCCACTAAATGAAGGTATTTCACCAATCAAGGCTGTGGAATAACCAGCATCCAGGAGACCCTTACTCAGTCTGGAAGGATATTACATATGCAATGGAACATGCAGAGCAGAAATGAAAATTTTAAGGTTAGCAGTCCCTAAATCTAATCAGTGGCTTTAAAGGACAATGATCCCATTAGCTCATAGGCCTCTATGCACATGACAGCATGCCAGGGCACTGGTAGTTAGAGGAGGTGAGAATTTTCTAGTCAGCTGTTGAAGTGTTGCTTAGCTCCAAGTAAAAATGTGTTGCACATCAGGACTTCCTTAAGATAGAGGCTAATTCCTTACAGGCAGAGATCTGACTTAGTAACCGAGTGTAGGGCTTCTATTAGGAGGCTCAAAATGATGGCCTATTTCACTGAATGACACTTAAAGCCAGGCTTTAAGGATTTCAGTTTTAGAACATCAAATGTTTTAGACCAAATGCTGCACTTTCTGGCATCCTGATCACCTCAAGACAGATTTTATCTTTTGCCCAATCCCCAGCTCACCTTGAGAATTTTAACAACTACTTTTTCATTATTCGTAATGTTGATGGCTTCAAATACTTCACTGTATTTGCCTCGGCCTAATTTTCGAACTAGCTGGTAGTCATCTTGATTTCTGTGGAGATAAAAAGTTAGAGTTCCAAAGAGCTCAGTCATTCCCATCACAATTTACAAACCGCTCCTTAACACTAAATCACTGCCTCACCTTCCAGACCAGGTGGATTAACTAGTGTCTTACATCTCCTGAATGCAATGATTAAGAATTAGGAGAGAAACAGGGAGCTTCTACTCGCCCAAGTTAGATTCAATCCAGAACTTACTTCTTCTGCAGTAGGTAACATAAGCCCAACTATGCATTTCAGCATCAGCAAACTCGAGCTATCCCTTCCACCTGTCTATATATATTTGGAAGCTACATTTTTCCTAGTATAATGTTGTTAAAAATCAACAAAACCAGTAAGACCAGAAATTTAAGCGCTAGCCTGTTTAAAAACAGACTAGGCACAAAACACCACTTATGCTCAGAAGGTGTACATTTCAGAAACCAGGAACCGCAACAAAGCTGAGGGCAGAACTTAGTCTGGGCCCTGCTATACAAAAGCAGGAACTCAGAGCTATGAAGCTGGCATTACCGCTGTCTGATTCTTGAACGGTTTAGTCATGAGCAAAATTTAGACACCTCCTTCCTTCAAAAACCAGCAGACATGTCTTTTCCAGTCACTCACAGAGCACTGAGCAACAAGTCACAAAATAGCATGCACCTATTTAAGCCCGCCGAGTCTCTTCACTCACGCAAGTCAGAAGCAACATCAGATGTCTTTTCACTTCTTTTCAGCCCCACACCCAGGGCTGGTTAGACTGTTTCAGATAGATTTTCTGCCCTCTGAAAGGACAAGTTTCCTGACTACCTGGCAAAAATTCTTCAAAACAAACTCTTAAGGGAGCTGCAAAATGTTCTTGCGCTGCCGGGGATTTAAAAATTTGACAAGAAACACTTTCAGACACACAACAGGTTATTCTGCCATTTCTGCAATTCCGAAGAAAAGCTGTGATCCTAATACTGCCATGCATGCTAGACATCTGCCAAGGAGCATGAAAAAGCCTAACGCAGCACAGGTGCCTGAACTCCCCATGCCAGATGCTACAGGGATCGATCCCAGTCCAGGGACATCCACAGGCAGCCCAGAGACTTACCCCCACTCAACAACATGCGACTCATAGTCCCAGTACTCCCGGGGTCTGTGTGTGTTCACATCCGTGTAAACTCTGGCCCTGCTCGGCACGGGTCCCGACATATCAGACAGGTTGGCAGGCGGAAATGATGAGATGTCCGAAATCAGAGGCTACCCGAACTGCAAAGCTGGACAGAGGATAAAGGCCTCAGATTCTTCCACCTGCAGAGAGAAAATGAACCAGAGGTTAAAATCTCAAGATACTATAAAAATATTTAAGTTAATCATTAAAAGCTGCTGAGAAGGAGAGGCTGGAGCCCAGCCACAGGCCTGGGATCATTTGTCAGAGCTTGAAAACAATTTGTCTGCTCTCCCTCGCACAGGATGGGATCACTTGGCCCCACTAGCAAAAGTAACACCCCTCCCCGCAACTTTCAGCATGTAGTTTCCAACTTATGGCTGCGAAGATAACTTTCCAAAAGGCAAGAAATGCAACGTGCTCTGCATCTGCAGACAGACTCCTTCCTTTCAGCTCCAGGGTGAAAGCAACAGCCATCGGCTGCAATCTCTCCCCCATCCAGGAAGAAGTCTTGTCCCATCCCATGTAACCAAAACACTTCCTTCACTCGAGGTTGCACAACTGTCACCTCTTGCAATGCACTAATAAACAATGCTGCAAACAGAGCTGACAGACCGACAAGGGCACCTGTGCAACCTCAATTAAGCACCTTCTGAAGTTACAACTTCTAGAAACACCAATTTGCATTTAAATCAGAACTTTGGGATTTACTTGCAATTCTTAAAAGGACTGAAGCCTTTCATGGGCTCACACACAAAGGTTTGTGTGGCTACGCTGATTCATGCTGTGGAAAGAAAAAAAAACCTGAACTGATCCACCACTACTCTGCACTTCCCGTCCACTGGAAAATGCAGGTACTAACTGAAGCATTTATGTACAAAGCAAGGCTGGTCAGCTCTGGAACAGGCTGCTGGAGGAGAGCAGAGAAATGCAGACACCAGGACCAAAACGTTATCCAAAGATAAGATTGCTGAAGTCTGAACATCACTCTGGGGATTTTCATAGTACAACATTTTTCCCATTTCCACACACTCCGAAGAAGGCTTTTGCTACTCTGTTCATGCCCTCCTGCACGGACATCTCATCCCACCACCTCACAACAGATACCTTCTACATCTAACCCACTGCCCACTTGAAAGTGAGCAAGACTTATAGAGCAGGCAGCCACTGGGCCTCGTCTCTGGGCTTACTTAAGGAAAAAAGCAGCACCACGCTGTACAATGCCATTAGGTCCTAGCACAGACAACAGTATTCTCCAGAAGATGTAGGGCATTCATAGTGATGAGCTACATCCACACTAATTAGACTATCGTGAGGAAAAGTACATCCCCAACTGGCAGTGAGACAAGAAAGGACATCGGGAAGATCTCATAGAGGCCAGTCGTTACGAACCATTCAGGGATTAAATGGCTTGAGGATGCTCGGAAGACTTCATGGCAAACTGAGGCAGCCAGAAGAGTTCTGCTGGGATGGGGCACCAGTTTTGGTCACAACTTCCTATAGTCAAGACATTAAATCCGACTGTCCAAAAGACAGCGGCATCTGTGTTAGATTATGATGCTTTACCCAAACACGAAAGAAGAATTCTGCTGCAATGGTCTACAGATGTTTCTTTGCATTCTGCTTGTCCAAAAGATTTGGTAAGCACCCCCACTTCTTCCTCTTACAATGTGATTTTTGCAAAACTTCTGTTAAGTTTTATCAGTATTGAGACCAGTCAAAATAACTCAAAAGAAAGTTACTGTGTCAGTGACAAATACTCTAATTTCTGAATATTTAAGACAACAGTAACTTACTACAGTTTTATATCAATATTGTCCTACCTAAAATAAAAGTAGTGCCTCTGCACCTCTCAAATCTTTCATGAGTGAAAGCCGACGTATTTTTAAACGTTTAAGTACAAGAATCTCTTTGTCAGCTTTCAAAATAACTTACAAGGAAGGAAGCTGTATCGGAGCATGAAAGTATTGTTTGGTGCATAGCATATGGCAGACTATACAGCCCTGTTTATAGAAAGGCACTCAGTCAGTGGGCAATGCTATAATCTAAACGAATATAATGTACTATGCCAATCTTATCCCTCCACAGAAAACAGGCAACTGCCAGACTGCAGGAGGAAGTAACAGACCCATTAATCAGAAATTAATCAGAAAGACCTAGAAATCTGCGCAGAGCAGTTAGGCTATCAGGATATGTCACAGCATAAGAAAATTCTAGAAGCAAAATCCTGCTCTATTGGCAGTGTCCTGTCGTTGATTCGAGGTCTGCGGTACTTCAGTCTGCTGCAAGGACCACAGCAAGGACCACTGGCTATGAAGATGGTGGAGGACCTGGGGGACACAGGTCTGATGTCTTTCACCGCGTGACACAACTTGACCAGCAGCTGGTTCTGCATTCAGAGGCAGAAACGTACGCGAGGTCTCTTTCTGGCGTGGACTAAGCCTCCTCAGGTGGTACGGACCTTGGCAGCGTGGGTTATTTTTTGACCTACTGACACACAAACGGTGTTGAAGGCAGCTCCAGGTAGACGGGGTTGTGGTAATCCAGCCCCACGGTTAAAAAGGGACACGGCACTGTTCCGAAGTCCACAACAGAGGTGTGACTGAGGCCTCAGCCCAGTAAAGGAAGGACAGGGCACTTCAGCCAGGTGTTCAGCTAATGGAAGAATATGAAGTATTACAAAAAAAAAGATTAAAAAAAATCTATTCCTGGACAAAATGTTAGTCCTCGAACAAAATATACTTTTGGAAGATTAGGCAGCAATTGTCTGAGACCTCAAACCATTTATGTGACATGACTCAGACACTTGGAAATTAGATGTATATTCCAAAAATGTATTCAGGCATGAACAGAGCATGCAAGTTTACTAGAACACTTTTAGTACAGTGAAATTTATTAGATTTCAAAGTTTAATCACTGTGGTTTTACTTCTCCTCATTCCATGTGCTTCTGGCAGGACACGCACTAGCTAATTTCCTCTGCCCAGTACTCCTTGTGTGGGAATTAACTGAACCTATATATGTCTAAGATGACTTAGCAGTCTTAATTTTTAAGCACAGCGCTGTATCAATAAAGAACATGTGACTGCTGCACCTCATCCAGCTTATCAGCAAGATCAGTTTCAGCAAGGAAAAAAGTAGTAAAAAAGAAAAATCAATCACACTATCTAAAGACAGAACAAATTTCACAGTGGCTATTTTTTGTCACGTAGCTCTAGCCTAGCACAAGCTGTATGCTGTAACAGACTGCTCAGAGAAGGGCTTTTTCAGGAAATCATCGGACTGTAGCTTCTAAGAATGGCACACAATGCCTATTTATGAAGGTAGGTATTATTGTCTACTGTTCTTTATACAGGAAGAGGAGAGAGTCTACACAGATAATTTGGTTTTAAAACAAAGTTCCACACATATACAAACTTACCCTGCCTGAAAGCTTCTCACTCTCTCTGCTCAAAACTGCTAAGGAATTTGTATATATTTTGCTTTCACTGCCCCTAGGGAGGGATAATTCTGCAGTGGATCCAAGCTCTTTGACAGAAGGGACTGACACAAAAAGGGACAAATCATGGGGACAGGTGTGGTCATGCAAACGTCAGTTTAGCTTGCAGTTTTAAGGCAGAAAATCTACAGTATGAGCAGCGATTACACCTAGATGAGATGAGTGTCCTGAGCTTGTTACAAAAGATGAGTTCTGTTTCTGCAGTCAGAATCCAAACAGGACACGTCATTTATTAATTCCTGCATTAATGACAGAATCATAGAATAATTTATATTGGGAGAGACTGCTGAAAGTAATCTAGTCAAAGTAGATCTAATTAGATCAGGTTGCCATGTCCAGTATAGTCTTGAGCATCTCCAAAAAACACAATGCATTGCTGAAAATTTTAATTTTTCTGGTAGAGAAGTGCTTAACTGGGAAACATAACCACGAGCTTTTAGGCAATATACCAGAGATCACAGAGAAGGAGACAAAGCTTCCAGTTACCGTCTGACACACACTGTTCAATGCTAAGGCTCGCCTGCGCAAGGACAGAAAACAGCTCTTCTGTTTTAGCACTTGTGGTGACGCCCCTTGGGAAGACATTACCAAACAGCACTCACATGGTAGCTATACCAAAGAAGCAACATGCAAAGATTTCAGTGCCTGGTTTTCCCACCCAGGCCTGCCCTTAAAAACTCCATTTAAGTATTAGCAAACTGCCAATTAGCTAATCTCTTACACAGCATCCTTACCGAGAGCACCCCACAGGACCCTGTTCATCCCGTGTACAAAAAACCCAAACTGAACACCACAAGAACACAGCCAAATACAGCACTGCATGTACTACTGATAATTACTCCGCAGGAGTGCCCCAGAGCCCCAGTCAAGAGACAGAAACAATTGTGCTGCCATCATATAGGAATTTTTTTAATTGGAAGGTCTAGTAATTAAAAGAGATCAGTTCTAAAAAGTCTGAATTATTCTAACAGTCACCTATTGTCAGAGCAGCTTGGTAAGCTAGACTTTTTGTGCCTAAAGTTCAACAAAACAGTAAAAAGCTTCTCAATGTTTACTTTGAATTTTATTTTTAAAACCTTTTAATTTAAAGCACTGTTACAACCCCCCTCCTTTTTAAAAAGGGATTTTTTTATCATCCTTACAATGCACTCTGATCCCAATGGCAACCCCCGCCCCCACGGAGGACTTGGTTTCTTGTGAAGTATCCGTACTTACAGCACCTATACCCAAATAGTATGGGAATTTCCTACGCCCTCTGTCCTTCCAGATGTATCCACTTACAGCAAGTAGCAACAAAACACAGCTAAGAAATCTAAACAAATTAGTTTCTGAGAAACACACCTATGTAGCCTCTAGTAAAATTCACCTCTCTCATTTTAGTCAAGAATAACTGAGATACTGGAATCTTTCTTTTCTCCTTTTAAGTGGAAATGTTTTTGGCACGGAGCTTCTCTCAAGCACACAGTTACTCAGAACCTTAAACCGAAGAAGCTGCACCAGCATGATGCAGCGCACATACAGACTCCCAGTGAGCTGGAAGCCAAGAGCTTCCCAGAAGACTGGTGTCCCGAGGAACCTGCGAGCGCTATCCAAGCGATGACTTTTGTGGATCTGGCTTGGAGTATAAATAATGAACCCAAGAACA